CAATAAAAAACAAGTCTATAACTATTTGCGAATAAATAATGTTGTGAAAATATCATTTAAATTTTTACTATTGAAAAGAAAGAGCATTTAATAAGTAAGTTCAAATAAAGTGAAGCAAAAAAGTAGTAAAATAAATATTAATTATTTATATGATAAACATGTAAGAACACACGAAATTCTATGACCTGATTTCTCATGAAATTACAGACGGAACTTCATTTAAAAAAAAAAAAATTGATAACTGAAGTGCTGACAACGTGCTCTTGGAATACTTCGTAAAAATACATTGTGAAACTAACTAAAATAAACAACTAAAATTATATATTTTCATTTATTTTCATTTAAAGGGTGCCCCAGAACTTCATGTTCCGATGACACTGGTGACAGTATTTATTGTAACTATCATTAAAAAAAATTTAAAAGAAAATATCCCATACAGTTTGAAATTTTATGAGTTTTTAATTAATCCCTAAGGCTTTGGTCATACTATAACCATTGTGGTTTCGGTAATTATTTTTGACTAAAGTGTTATTTGGGGTTACGGTTACAAAAATAATAAAAATTAATCACAATAACCGAAAGATGGTTAAAGTGTGTCCAAAGCTCTAGGCTTTACTTAAGAGCTAATAATTTTCAAACTGCATGGGAATTTTTTTTTGATTTTTTTTTTATGATAGTTAATCAATATTGTCGCCTCGTGTCGGTTTGACGTCAAGTTCTGGGACACCCTGTATAATAAAACAAAATATCTTTGTTTAAAACAAATTAAGCCTTTGAGAGACAAAGCTGACAAAGTTCCACCAAAGAGTGTGAGTACCACCAAATTATTAACCAAAAGATTCAGTAAAACTGATTTCACGAAGTATTTCCTCGAGCACGTTGTCAGTTCTTCCACTAAAGTTTTACTCGTCCGTTTATGAAATAATAAAGCTAGTGGAACCCAAATACCTAAATTGTTTTAAAAATGTCTTAAATTACATATCGCATTATTATCTTTTACGACTGCAGCCAATTTTAAAACTTTTTGATCTCTCAGCTTACCTTGTTTGGTATGCAACTTCAAGACTGCGCAATCTTTCCAAAGAAAGATTAATTTCTGTTGAATATTCGATACATTGATTTGAACAATGTATGGACATGATATAATTGTACAAACAAAGCTTAAATTGATTTTTTTAATAATAAAAACTAAGAACAGACTATGCATTTATTCAGCTATGACAATAATATTAGTAGAACTTAGATAGAGTATACAATATGAGGGAAAATTGAACTAATTGTGCCCATTAAATATGTGATGTAAACTACAAGTATTTATGACTGTAACATATTGCTCCTTTAAGTCTCACTAAAAATTTATTTTATTGGAATTTTTACACTGACACTACGTAACAGTTCTATTAGAAAAATCTAATTTACCAGAACGTTTAGAATTAAGCTAAAAATATTTAATAATTTTTCAAAAATTATCTGAATGTGTTCTTTTATCAAATTCTATTTATATTTGTTTTCAATTAATGCCAGGTACAAAAATGTAAACATAGATTTAATTTATATATGCAAATGTAAAAAAATGATTTACATGAAGTATTAATAATCATATCAGAATTTTAAAAAAGGCGAATGACGTCGTATGAATTGTTTCTAGATTCAAAAATGCCTAATTTTTATATCGAGTCTTACCATATCAACGGTATCCTTAATTTTTAATGTTTAAGGTTAAATACTAAAAAATGCTTTAATGAATACAAATCAATGCTTTAATATAAAGACAATAATAATTCTATTAAATATTTGATATATCATAGAAGTTGTGTAACATTGAACATTGTTTGTAAGTAAATCATACTATTTAATAGTTCAATGTAATTTAGATATAAAGTATGACATAGAGTATACATCCAATAACTGACAATAAATGTTTCATAGTGTGCTTTATTGTAATAATTACTCTTATATATGGGCCTCTTTAATGAAATAAATGTATTGATAAAAATAGAAACGTGTTTTATTCCGTGTCATAGCAAAAAATCAATTTTAATGACATCCGAGCAACAAGGTAAGAAACAATAGAAACAATACTAGTTGTAAGTAGCATTTTGCAAGTTGCATAAACATACCGATAAAGATTTAATTTTTTGATGAAATTTTTAATTATTTATTTTGAAAATAAAGTTTTCACTTTTACTGATCAATTGATATCTTTTAAACCATTATTCCAAACTTTGATACATTTTTATATTTGAGCTTTACAATTTTTGTAAGCCTCTAATATTTTAAAAAGTTGATCTAGATTATTTTAAACAGATGGTATGTTCTCAAAAATGCAATTTGCATCTTAATAAAACACACTTACTACCACAATTGTGACCAAAATTTAAAGTTTGAACATTCAATAGTTTCTGAGATATGCGAGGTTGATGGGTGCCTGGCTCCGCTCTCAATACTGGTATTGAAACAGATTGTACGTTTTCAAAAACGCATAATTCGATTGTGTTGAAACTTGACATACATAGTTATTACACTTGCCTAAATTTTTGACAAAAATTTAAAATTGAAACATTCAATAGTTTCTGAGATATGCGAAGTTGATGAGTGGCTGGATCCGCTCTCAATACTAGTATAGAAACAGATTGTACGTTTTCAAAAATGCATAATTCGATTTTGTTGAAACTTGACATACATAGTTACTACACTTGACTAAATTTTTGACAAAAATTTAAAGTTGGAACATTCATTAGTTTCTGAAATATGCGAGGTTGATGGGTGGCTCCCGCTCAATACTAACATTTAACCTAGATCATAAATTCTATCGTCATGTTAAGTTTTGTTATAAACGCCAGAAAAAGTTTTTTTAACAATAATTTACAAAGAAACGGCTCGTCCGATCTTGACCAAAACTAATTTGCACGATTCCCAACTGATATTAATCGAAAGTTTTTCAAATTTTCAAAATTGGTTGTGGATATTTTAGAAAATTCTAAAGAAACGGCTCAATCGATCGTTTTATCAAATGGCTATGATAATGCAATTTCATAAAATTTATTTATTTTGATAAAATGCAATCGGTGCAGCCGTTTGAAACGTCGATTTTTGAAAGGTCAATTTTTGTCTCACATACACAAAAGATCAATTTTTGGCTTACATACACATGCCCACATACTTTTTGGGGTCATACGATTCAGAATGACTGGAAAACATCGAGAACACATAAAATTAGAAAATCGGAATTTCTGGAAACAATCTTTTTATTCGACACGTTAGTTATTGATATTTCTTGAAATTCAAATCAATAGAAATTATTACAAGTTCATATCAATTAATGGTTCCAACCAATGCTTAAGTTCTTTATTTTCTGTTTACTTTATTTTGAATTTATCATATTTAACTTGAAAATCTCTTAGACATCATTTTGCTTTATGGTTCTAATACTGTATATATGTATTTAAGATGAAAGGCACAAAGAATTCCCTACACCACAGGCTTTGTAATAACTTCATAATTGAACATTTGATCGTCAATCAATTTATGGTTTCTCGAAAATAAAAGATCCGACTTCTATATTCCATTACTTAGCTTGTTCTTTTTGCAATGCATTTTTTAAATTAAAATCGTTAAAGGCAACTGAAATAAAGGTAAAATGTGTGGCGCCATAACTGGGATGATTTCGTTACTACATATTGATCAACTAGGACATTATACATACATATATATATATATATATATATATATATATATATATATATTACGAATAATACTTGTGATATATTACTTCAGATCTACACAATGGATCAATCTATTTTCAAAGTAGGGCGCACAAAATATGGATCAGAAAATATACACCATCAAATATATGTAACCAGTTATCGATACCTATTTTTACGTCAGCAAAGACCAACGAAAAAATGATTAAATGTGAGCATGAAAATGTTTTACATAAGTTCAACACCTTTTCGTTCAAAAATACCTTTCATGAAAAACACAAAAGTTGAGCATTTAAAAGTATACTTAAACCTTACCACTCGGCACTGATTCAAAAATATTCTACCAGCAACTTGGCGCTGCATTCTGACGAAAACGTATCTGCTGTAAACATGATATTATTGGGAATGTTATGCAATTTGTTTGATATGAATTTTTAGACATTGGAGAACGTATTATCACAATGAAATCTAAATTTATTTTCTGCAGTATTAGAGTTGTAACTGTTTTTTTTTATCATTCCACAGAAAACTGTAATATATTGTTGCTTATATATCCCTGTTTTTTATGAAAATTTTGCTTTACGAACTATATATAATAAATATATATATAATAATAATATATATAAAAAACTTGCAGGCCGCATTTACAAAGAGGGCGTCCACGTGATCGATTTTTTAATGATTTTTGTACCCGCTCTTGGTGATACGTCGTGATATCTAAAATTAACCCTTGTTCCCCATTAAACATCACGTGTATTTTTAGTAACATAAATTTTTCGAATTTACGAAAAAATTGTGATTTTTTTTTTTGAAAATTCAGGTAAAAGATAAATACACGTGGTATCTTACTAGACCCCCTTTTAAAAATTTTGAAATACCTTAAATATATATTCCAATAAATTTGAAATAAGTTTTGCTGTATGTATTACCTACTGATTTTGTAGTTTAATTATTAACCTAATCGTTTTTATAATTACCGCCCGATACAGGGATCGGCCCCGAGCAAGTCGAACTAAAGGACTTCTACCGCAGTAAATTAATTTCGCTGAAGAAATTATATAGAAGTAATATATTTTAATTAACATCAATATACAATACAATATATTCAACATCAAACATTCCTTTCATCGCAAAATTGTATCACAGTCAAAAACAACACAATACTTATGAGATATTCAGGAGGTCCTTGTTAAAAACGAATAACCCCTCAAAAATCCCTGAAAGTGATGATATTATAAAAATTATTTTTCACTTGCACTGCAAAAGGTTAGCAATGTTTGTTATAATGCACTCCGTTAAAATCGGTATTTGATGATCACAAATTAACACTTTCGTTAATCATAACTTCAGTTTCTTTGGAAGTGGAATCGTCTCTTTTGGTAAGGGAATGATCCCTTTTGGAGACTCCACCGCAACAATCCCTGATGGCGTGGTTTGAGGTGAACGGGACCGCCGGACGCGATCCCGGCTCATGCTAGGGTTGCTTGTTGGCGGTCAGGGAGAATTTTCGCATGTCCACCATCTGAATTAGGTTGCTGTCTTGGAATTGCTTATCCTAAAAGACGAACTCATTGTTGGAAATATCAACAATAATTCATGTCACATAGATCTTTTTGCAACAATTGCAATTAAAACAGTCTTGAGAAACAAAACAGCAAAAAACGAAAGAGAAAATAATGGTGTTCTGATGACAATGGTGCATTTGTCATAATATGTTAGAATTAGATTTATAATATCAGAGCAAAACTATAAAAGCTCGATGCCATAATCCGTCCCATTTTTGTATATACATTTTTATTCCAAGTTATAGTAATTACAACAAAATCATTTTTTTTGCATATCTTCACGTTTTAAAAGTTTTTGAACATTCTAGCATACCTTAGAAATAATGGATGTATGTGTGTACATGTATGTATGTATTTGCGGATTCAAATTTTCATCGACAATTTCGAGAGCACAGATCACCAATTTCATTGATTCAAAAAACATTCTATTCATGTTGATGAAAATACGTGCTGATTAGGTTTTGGCAAAAGCAGGTCCAGCCGTTTCGAAGATACTGAGCACAAAATTGCGAGAAATGGCAATTCAAATTTTGAGAGAACGGAACGTCCGATTTGAATGATTCAATAAACATTTCACTTAATTGAATAAAGATTTGATTAAATTTTTGGAAAAACGGGTCCAGCGATTTCGGAGATCCATAAAAAAAAGTTTTCAAAAATGCCATTTTGTCGTCAAAAATGATCATCTGCCATTTGCACATCAAATTATCAGATATTTTATAAAGATTTTAATAATAAGTACAATCTTTGTTTTCATTTCTATGGGTTCCGTACCAAGATTTGTAATGTTCAAAGTTCACTTATATAGTTCAAATAAATGTTCTCAAGGGTTTCAATTTTGAAAAAAGTTCAGAATTTTCAAAGATTTTCAAAAAAAAATCTATTTTTTCAAAAAAGTAGTTTTTTTTCAAAAATTAAAAAAAAATCAAAATTCTCCAGAAAATCTTTTTTTCAAATTTTATTTATTCTTTCAAAACAATGAAATTTTTCCCCAATAAGCCTATATTGTATCCTTGTTTTTCAATTTCAGAATTTTCAAAGATTAGAAAAAAAATCAAATTTTTCAAAAATCTGAAAAAATCAAAATTCTTCAAAAAAAAATTTGTTTTCAAATGTATCAAAAAAACGATAAAATCTTACCACAATAAGTCAATATTGTATAATTGTTCCTTTATTTAAGAATAAGGAAAAGGTATATTTTTTAAAAACAAAATCTAAATTCTCCAAAAAATCTTTTTTTTTTCAAATATATAAAAAAAACAATGAAATTTTTTCCCAATAAACCAATATTGTATTCTTGTTGTCGATATAAATTTTTCCGTTTAAATAAATATGCATAAAAAAATATTTTTAACACTTTTACCGACACCCTGAAGAGATAATTGTGTTATTAATCAGAAAGTGTGGACTGTGTGCTATTTCAACGAAATAATATGAGGTGATTTGTTAATATTAATTTTGATTTTGATAGAATAATATTTTCTACTCCCAATTAAAATATTGGGATATTATAAAATTGTTCTTTCCAAATAAAGCCTAACGTGGCTTTTGCACAATATGTTGCTGTAAGCTAGTATGCAAAATATAAGAAAAAAATATAAAATGATGTAATCCATTTTAGATAAACCAATTATAAGATAGCTATATTATGTTAATAAAAATAATATTTATACCCATATTGTAAAAAGTTAAATAGCAAACCTTATTTATCCTAGTTGGAGTGTACATTGGAGCTGGACTACAATCAGCACATCCCTTTTTAATAGTAGCAAATGTTTCAATATTTGTAGATGTAGTTTTATAACGTTTTTTATGAGTATTGCAATAAAATTCTATGATAGCAACAACTACGGCGATACTGAGTCCACATACCAAAACTAGGAACAGACCACCTTGAAAAATGTTAAGAAAATATTATAATTATGTATGTACATAGTTTCACCTAAATTACTATAATTTTATACCATATTTACCTAAGTTACTTCCGTCCAAAGGATTTGCTTTGGTTCATACATTTGGTCACAAACATTTTTACTTGGTTCGGTCCACCATTTATCATAAAGCTTTTGTATTTGACCACTTTGACGCAGTTCTGATATCGCATTTGATATTTTATTCTTAAATGGAAATCCGCGAACTGTTGCAATTCCATAATTTTTAGAATCTAAGAGACCTCCAACTTGTTTTAAATAACAATTTCTTCTGATAGTGTAATCAAGCATAGTGGATTCCATTAAGAATGCATAATTTCCTTTCAAAGTTTTCTGAATGCCATCTTCATATGTTGGAACCAGCGATACAGATTTCTTTTCGATCATATTCTGCCACATTTTTTTGTAGATATCAATATTTGAATCCTGAATAAAATGTGTTATTTTGATGAAATAATGAACGTTCTAAATAAGTTTAATTTAATTTACCTTGAAAAAGTTCATTGTCGAACCTCCTTTCAAAGTGCCAAAAGCAATCTCATCTTGATCAGCAAGATCAGCTGCACTTTTTATTGGAGAAATCATATAATCTACGGTTCTAAAGGCGGCAAGGTTAGCTGTATAAGATGATATTATAATGAGTGTGAAAAACCACCACACGGCGCCAATAATTCGTTTTGAAGTCGCCTAAAATTGTATCGTTTATCATAAAAATTCTGGATAAAAATTAATTTATAGTTGTTTTCCTTAAGTACCTTAGGATTTAATCCAGAACCTCGTCTGAGAAGCGTTCCGGTTATAAACCAAAAACTATTATGAACCGTAAACTGATTTTCTACAACATCTGGAGGAACTTGTTGGCACATTTCGGCCTGTATAGATCCATGTGGAGAAAATCTAGCGATGGCATAAAATGTTAGTGAAACGGTTACATATGCAGCTAACATATATAACCAAATCTTAACATCGAAGGGATTCATGAAGCTAAATATGTGTTTCGGCTGATTTTTCGTAGCCTGAAATATGAATAATTACCGTATCAGAACCCATTGCAAATATTAATTTACTCTATATATATTACCTTAAATAAGACGCCAATACCAAAATTCATAAAAGGTTTCGTAAATTCAACAACGTTTTCTCTATTTCTGTCGATGGTAATTGGTGCTACGGCAATATCAGCTTGCTAAAAAAATTATTACTAATATAAATACAGGTTTGATTAATAATAATTAAATACAGATTTATAAATTTCTTACTCTATGAACGAGCTCTCCAACAATTCCATTCCATTGATGAGTTTGAGGATCATAAGAACCGTACATGTTATCTGGAACAAGTCGTATTGTGTAGCGAAATCCTACTTTTCTTGCTATTAATTTCAGCAAATCAATGCAAAACCCCTCATACATCGTATTTCCAGTCATATTGCTTTCTTCTTTCAACATAACGTATGGTTTTTCCTGAGAAAAAAATAATTAATACATTTATAGTTATTCCATCTCACAATTAGTGATTTACAAAATAATAATGATTCTATGCCTCACCAATTTAGTAACAACAACAAATGTTATATTAGCGGCTATTTCATCAGTTTCTGGAAAAATGTGGACGCCAGTTGCAGGTGTCCATTCGCCAACTTTGTGCAACTCTTCTTTTCGCAAGTTCATCAAATCTAATTTGAAATTGTTCCTCTTTCCTTCGTTAAACTCAATTTTACCAGTCAACCCATCGATGCTGGCCTGGAGATCAATTAATTTATTAATTCATTTTATTGTGAGCCGAGATTTAGAATCAAAATACTTACAGAATTAATATAATTGTATAGTGATAGACCTCCATCAAAAGGCTTTTCCAAATCACATGAAAGATTTGTAGGTCTTAAAGCTTGAACCGTATCCATCGCAGTCAAACCCGTTGCAAAAACATGTACTGAATCGTACATTAAGGCAGGTTCCGCCTAAATTAAATCAATTTATATCAATATGAATACACACTCTATATAAAATATATATATATATATAATATATATATACTATACTAACTTGTATTACGCGATTTTTATTCAGAATTGCTTTTCCAATAGGCTGAAATCGCTCCATTTGTTCTAGAGCTTTCATAACACTAGGTGATGTTACATCTACTAATCGAAACGCCGTCATATTAACACCATTGTATTTAAAATCCTCCAAGTCAAAAACTTCAATATCCTAAAAATGAATTGCATATAAACTACTGATTAGGAAACAATATAAACCAATAATAATGAAACTTACATATGTCGTAAACAAATAATGATACCGATCATCGTTCATTTGTAACTGCAAAATCTATAAAAAAGAATAGGAATAGAATAAAACTAAATAAAGTATTATTTAATTTCACTAATAACTTACGGCGCGAAAAAATTTAGAAATGTATTCTGGATTCGTGTCTACCACAAGATTGAATATTTGTTTGCGTTTAATATCCTTTAGAACTTCTCTGTAACTAGCAGGATTAGTTTGAAGGATGTACACATCAGGCTTGGATGCAGAATTTACAAAGTCATGTCGACGAAATAGTCCTAAATTAAATTTCAATAAGTTTACTAACTCAAAATTACCTGGTAATTAATCAGTCTTACCAGTTTCATCTTCGTAAATAACCGCCATTCTAGACCATCCAAGAAAACTTAGTAAATCCTGAAACGCTTGAGCAGTATACCTAGGAGCGGGGTAAAGATTGATAGAAAATTCTTTAGGCACAGGTTCTGCATCTGATCTAGCCTCAATATGAGGTACATCCAGTGCTTCACATATGGACTGAATGTGTGTTCCTAATGTTCCATCAGATGGTCCAAACAAAGCCTGCACTCCTGATTCTAACTGACGACAAACTGAACAAGGAAAAACCAGTGAAAGCAACTTTGAGTCTACAAATTTTTGTTAGTAAAGTCATGATACCTTTTTTAGATGTGCGAAACGAATCATCTCTAGGAACATATTGTATGTCGTATACGATTGTAGTATTGGGTAATAATGTTTTATCCTTATTGATGCGATAAACAGCATATTTAAATGCTAACTCAGAACTGCTGTCTTTTTGATCCTCTGTGAAAACAGCACCTGTTAAATAGAAATCAACAATTATAGTATAAGCAACAACAAATTAAATATTAAATAAAATAAAACATATTCTCTTCATTGATTAATTCTCTAATTAAAGCTACAGTAGGACCATATACCAACATTTTTCAAATCTCATAGATCATTGAGAATTGAAATAAGAAAAATTTTGGTGGCAATTGACCGTTATTTCAAAAACGATAATTTCATTTCATTTGTTACTTGTTAGTTTTAACTAATATGACCGTATATATTTTTTAAAAACCCAGACGAAGACTGTTTATGTTAAAGAACTGAAAAATGATTTAACTCGGATGCCGCCGCTCCGGCAACAAAATAAGTATTAATTCTGCAATTAGCGAGTGGAAAGCGTTAAAACTTTTAGTTTGTTAATTTTAACTTTAGTTTATAATATGAATGATCAAGTTAGCTTACCAATTCGGATAATAGGCGGCAAAGTGGCAATGACCAGTCTAGTGGTGGCAGCGGCGATGAAGAGTATCAGGCGGCCCCTCATGCCAACACGAGGGCGCCCCCACGGACTCCACATTACTAGACACAAAGTATATTCACAATAAAATAAAATAATATTTACAATAAAATAATTTATTACAATTTACACTACCAAAATTTAACGCTAACATTTACCGCTAAGAAGAGTGTTCTGGTCTGGAATTTAAATAAAATGGAATTTTGTTTTTTGTTTATATATTTTGTTTCAAGAATATATTTGAAAAAATATTCAAAAATACATTTACAAAAATATTTTTCAAAATTTAAATTATTTTCGGAGATATAGCTGTTTGACCACAACAATCATCCTCTTGTCTTGAAACTGTCTTTTTCAACAAGATACCCACGATTTCTCAACTTCTACTAGACGGATTTAATTAAAAAATTTACGTCTTCTTCATAGACTTTACTTCAGTATAAACTAGTAAATAAAAAAGTAAAAAAAAACGCTATTTTTAGAAAAAACCTTTTTTTAACTTGTCCGCAGTTCATACGATTGCTACATTATTCTAGATTAGTAAAATATAAATTTTTTTTTCGGTGTATTTTGAAGGCTAAAATAAAATCATGGGTATGGTCAGTTGCCAATTTTTTGCGACCCTCCACTTCATCACCACACAACAGAATACCCACGATTTCTCAACATCTACTAGACGGATTTAATTAAAAAATTTACGTCTTCTTCATAGACTTTACTTCAGTATGAACTACGCTCAACTACAAAATTCATTTTTTTTATTCTTGAAAAAATCGAAGACATAAAAAAAAATCCAAACTACCATTATTTTGCGAAAAAACCTTTTTTAACTTGTCCGCAGTTCATACCATAGCAACATTATCCTAAATAATATAAATATTTTTTTCTTCGGTGTATTTTGAAGGCTAAAATAAAATCATGGGTATGGTTGCCAATTTTTTGGTACCCTTCACTTCATCACTTTCTAGAATTGAAACTTTATGATTATTTTTATTTCATTTTTTTTTTATATTCTCAAAACAATAATTAATAACTTGTAAAAAGAGTATAGCAAAATTATTGTTCGCGTTTTTACGGCCTTTCGAAAATCACATAAAATTGATGCTTTTAGACCAGAATACCCCCTTATGGACCACGTCTGTATAAAAACTTTTTTTAAACAGTAAACATACGTAATAATGCTGCTCACCTCTTCTGTAACTAGTTTTCTTAAATACACATAATAATTCAAAATCATTCATACAACTATAAAATATAATAATCATATATCAAAAGTTAATATGGCAGTGTTGAAGTTGAAATGCATTTTTAAAACTTTTCAGCAATTTTAAACAAGTTATAATGTCATTGTAACACATCACATAAATCTATTTGAAGTTTTTTTACTCCATTATAAATCACTTGAATGATCGAGTAATGCACACAGATCACTGGTCTCATTGATACAATATCAACACAGTTTCAGAAGGCGTAAAGTAGAGTTTAGCACCTTGTTATCGTACGTAATTAGTACACATATGACTTAGCACACTACGTCAACTAATAGGGCTTCTAGTCGGGAAATAAAACAATAATGCATTAATTATAGGAACACATATGAACTGATCGAACTCGATCGGGCACTAACGCCCAAACAGGCTCCCGAGGACGATCGACGCGACGGGCGGCGGGCGGCGGGCGCGACTCACCAACCATGCGTACAGGCGTACAGATGTGTCCCGAGATGCTGTACGGAGCCAGCGTAAACAAAGTTCGAGTGGCGGAAAGCTCTGCAACTCGTAAAAGCTCTACGAAAAAAGTCGGCGTAGCACTTACGGTGAAGACTCGAACGATACTGAATTAAACTAGTGGTGTATGGCATCGTGTCTCAAGGCAAATTGTTGGAACTTACCGTACCGTAACGAAATGATCGAGAAATATTACATGTTTTAAAATAGAATATAAACTAATTTGGAAAGTTGAAATTATTTGTTTAAAGTATATTAGAACAGAATTAAAATAAAAATCTAAATTATTTTCGATATACAAAAATAAATTTTTTTGGAAAAAAAAATTTGAAGCAAATTTTTTTTTTCCAAAATCAATTATTTTGTAAAAACAAGCAGAAAGTTTTCGGAATCATTCAAATCGGACGCTTAGTTCTCTCAAAAACTGCCATTTGTTGCACATTTAGCTCTGTATCTCCGAAACCGCTGGACCTGCCTTTGTCAAAAACTAATCACCCCTTCTCCCCGTCATTACGAATTGATTTTTTTTTGGGATCATTCCAATCGGATGCTCCAATCTCTCAAAAACTCAATTTCTATATTCAGCACTCTTTGCTCCGTATCTCCTAATCGGCTAGACCTGCCTTTGCCAAAAACTAATCAGCACATCTCCCTATCAATAGGAATCGAATGTTTTTTGAACCATTCAAATCGGTTGATCCGTGCGCCCGAAAACGTGGACAAAAAATTGTATCCATACATACATGCACAGTGTCTCACATTCACTCACACACACCCACACACATATTTTTTTCTGATGTATGCCAAAATGTTCAGAAACCTTCAAAACGTCGAGAAATGTTAAAATTTTCAATTTCGATTTTCGGCCCATTACAATAACTTAACCTACGGGAAGTTAAAAATAAGTATTTTTTGATAATTTTGATTTTTTTTTCACTTTCTGAAAATTTGGAACACATTTGAATAATTTGAAAATAAAACGATTTTTTTGATAATTTTGAATTTTTTTACCAAAATTTTGATGTGATTGTAATCGTCCAAAAATCGAAATCGAAATTTTTTACATTTCTTCACGTTTTGAAGGTCTCTGAACATGTTGGCATACCTTAGAAAAAATGAATGTGTGTGTTTATGAATGTATGTATGGATACAATTTTTCGTCCACGTTTTCGGGCGCACGGATCAACCGATTTGAATGGTTTAAAAACATTCGATTCCTATTTATAGCGAGATGTGCTGATTAGTTTTTAGCAAAAGTCGGTCCAGCCGTTTTGGAATTACAGAGCAAAGAGTGCAGAAAATAGAAATCGAGTTTTTGAGAGAACGGAGCATCCGATTCGAATGATCCAAAAGGCATTCAATTTGTAATGATGAGGAGAAGTCGTGATTAGTTTTTGGCAAAGACAGATCTAGCCGTTTCGGAGATACGAAGCAAAATGTGCAAGAAATGGCAGTTTTTGAGGGATATAAGCATTTGATGTGGATGATGTAAAAAACTTTGTGCTTGTGTTGACAAAAAAAATGTTTTTAGGGGAAAAAAATTGTTTTAATTTCCAAAAACAAAGTGGCATTTAATTTGGTACGGGAAGTTCCAGCAATTTGCCTCAAGGCACGATGCCATACACCACTAGTTTTCTTCTTTTTGAAGTTTTGATTGTTTTATAGCGATTGCGCCGTGTATCTAACCGGTTAAACATTTTACTTTGTGGTACAGAACCCATAGAAATCTAAACAAAATTTATACTTATTAAAATCTCTATACAATGTCTTATATATTGATACGATAATGATAGTAATTTTTGACCGCTAAATTGCATTTTTTTTTTTTAACACTAGATCTCCGAAACCATTAGACCTGCCTCATTCAAATAGGACACTCCAATTCCTCAAAAGCTAAATTGCCATTTTTTGCACTTTTTGTCCCGTATTTTCAAAAAGGCTGGGCCTTCATTTGCCAAAAATTAATCAGCAAGTCTTCCCTTCAATAAGAATCGATTGTTTTTTTAATCATTAAAATCGGTTAATCCGTGCTCCAGAAATCGTCGACGAAAACTCGTCAGCACACATACATTACATACATGACACACATACATCATTTTTTTCTAAGGTATGCCAAAATGTTCAGAAACTTTTGAAACGTAAAAATATAAAAGTTATCATTTTATATTTTTTTGCGATTCCTATAACTTACCCTACAAAAAGCTAATAAATAATAACGCAAATATATCAATTTTCAATTACTGCATTGTTAGTAAAAGTTGCAAACTCTCTTTCTAAAAGCCATTCGATAACGCGGACAGGCGCAATGGGTTTCCGTAGCAAAATTACTTTTTAGGGATACGGCATTTTCAAACAACGCACCTAACCAAACCAAAACTTTCGTCAAACTATATACATATATAGTTTGTTTGCAAACACGTGCTACTCAATTCAAAATAAAACGAAGTGTTCTGTTCTCAAAAAAAAAAAATCAAGTATAAGTCTTAAGGCAAGTTGAATAATCGATTTAAGAGGGGTATTCTTGATTAGAGGCATGATTTTATGCGATTTTTGAAAGGCTGTAAAAAGGGCCCACAATATTTTTACTATATATATTTTTTACAATATCGTTTACCTATACGGCCTTTCACAAACCGCATGAAATTCATGTGCCTAGACCAGAATACTACCTTGCCAAACAACTAATCAACAAAATTACCAACGGATATACTTCGAACGGTTTTCTAAATTTTTAAATTGGCTCAGGATTTTTGCGAAAAATTTTGAACTTTTCTTCTAATTGTAAAGAAACAGCTCACCCGAACATCGTGAAAAACTAAATAACGAGAGTCCTTATCGAGTTTCATATAAGGACTTTAATTCGTGAAATCGGTTCAGCTGTTTTTTAGAAAACTTCGAGGAAAGGTCAAATTTCGACTCATACACACAAACTTTTTCCACTTTTCGTCTTAAAAGATTCAGATTGACTTGAAACGTCGAGAAAACACAGAATTAGCAAAAACGAATTTCACCTTTGGAAAGTAAAAAAAAAAATCCCACATAATAAGAGCATTTAATAGGAAAAGGGAGTTAATAGAAAATCAGTAAGAAGTCTACTCCTACTATTTAAGTTAAAAAACTAAAATCAAATCAATAAAAAGTCACATCAAATAAAAATAAGACTTAATAATATAAAAATCTTAAAATTAGATGACACATAATAATATCTGAAATACCCAATGTAAAGGTAAATCAAGTACTATATGTGCTCCCAGAAAATCTTAAATTAAAAATAAAAATAAGTTTTAGAATGAACAAAATCCAAAAACCTGAAAAAAGCTGAAAAAAGAATAGATAATGATACACATAGAAAAGATTATAGAAATAGATAAATGTAAGGTTTATGTATTTTATGTAATATAGTATAAAGAATATATTTTATATTGTACACAATTAATATTAATTTGTTTTACAGTTGCTTTCTCATGATGTGTGATACCTGCAAAGCTTATATTGTATATAAAACATACAGAAATGTTCTTTCATTAACATGAACCACTGGTATAATACATGCATATAAATATATTAATGAAAGTTTATAAAATACAGTAATCGATGTACATAATATGAAATAATATTCACCAAATCATTCAATATGACATCATGAAAATAACAATTATAAATATATTACATCAGGGCAACGGACCTATTTTGTAAATTCATACAAGTGAAAAATGATGGACTAGATCAATATAACAACATACAATTTATTTGCAGCACGAAAGCATACTTCAATGATATATCGCATTCTAAAGTAATTAACTTTCATCTACATTATGTTCGTTTTCGTTATCAATGAATTCTATATGAGTAAATGGAAAATGACCAGATCTACCATTTATTTCACCTCTCCATTGTCCATTGATATTCATCTCGGTTACAGTTATAATATCACCCACTTCTAATTTTAAAGCTGTCTTATCATAAGCATTGGGCACTCTCGCTTGTTTCACACGAGCATAAGCAGGTAATTTCCGCTAGAAAGATTTAACAATCCTCATCAGTTACTTATAAATAGATAACAAAAAATATGCAATATATTTTAATCATACATTCACATTTGATTTTTTCATAGCATCATTGCTATTTGATACACTGCCACCTGAACCAGGTCTATGGATTGTGTTGAATTGGTTTTCATCATACTGAAAGTAAAAATCATTAAATTTGAAATTCCATATTGCATAATTATCAACTGAAGATAAAATATTTGGAAGTACTGACTTCAAAGTGGAAAACTTTATTATTGTAACAGACCTTGATTTCTTTGCATATTATCAACATTTTTTGTGCAATGATTTAATTAAAACAAAATTGAAATGTAAATACTGAATCAATCTTATTCCTGGTAATGTATGTATTATCACTAACCGGTTGGATGTAAGGAACAGGAATAGAACCAGTTTTCCCAACATTATTTCTAGCTGTCCACCATTGATCCTCATCTTTCTTAATTATATGCAAAATCTCACCCTTTTTAAATGGAAGATCTTCATTGTCCTACAATCAATAACTAATCAGTACATTCTGATGACACCAATATCAAAACAATCAAAAGTAATTGTACATACATTTCCATCAAAATCAAATTTGGCTATAACTTTTTCCACCTTCCGAGGCGCTGGTCGTATTAATGGTGTAGTGTCCAAATAATGGACTTTATAAAACTCTAATAGCTTCGGTAAATCTTTGAAGAGCTGATCACCAATTCTATACAAGATTTGATTATCTTCTTGTATTTTATTTATTATGTAATGACTAACTTTGCTGTCCTCCCTGATGAAAAAAACAAAATCAGGAAATAAGGTAGTGATATAAGAAAACATTAGAATGTTGTGGTATTGAATTCTCAAACTTGATTGAACATACATAAATGTTTTCCTACATAAAATGTTGCACAATAATAAAACAGATAAGTCAAAAATACACAGATCTATTATTTTTATAAGTAATACCCTGTTTACGGCAACAGGATTATAATACTGTTATTTCCAACAAAGGGCTACCTAAATGAAGACATGATATCAAATCTCATAACATCAAAGCATTGAAGGATTCTCCATTGTATGTGTATTTCGATATTGTTTGTTATCTTCAAAAATTGTCAACCAATTTTAATTTAATATAATAAAATCCTGTATCAAATAAACCCAAAAATAAATTAAAATCTTAATACATGAATAATGGGGTCACAAAAAGATAGACAGAAAATTGGATTTTTAATAAAAATGAAGACAAAACATTTTATGCAAAAATAAGTAATATAAATAAATATGCAGATTAAAACTAATTCAGTAAGATGATTTAGTCTATTCTGTGGTTTCTAACTTTTTGGTAAAAAGTACATACAAATATTGTTTGTTTTATAAAAATGTGTAAGTTGTAGCATAAAAAAGTATTCGATTTGTGGTCCCCAATATAGTTGAAAAGACCTAATTATCTGACTATTGAAAAATTTGGCGATATTTTGAAACTGTTATAGTATTTCTAGATGCTAAAGATTTAACCCTAGAATGGTATTGTGCATAACAAGTGATTTTTGAAGTAAAACTTTTTTAGGCGCGACTAGTGTGTAAATCTGTGATAATGCAACGGAAATTGCGTTACGCCCGAACTGTTCGTCATTCGCTCTCGATGAAATCATTTCTTTACTGGTTGATTGTGATTAGTCGTCGTGTCGCGTGAATAGATTTCTGTCGTTGTATGCGTACCAATATCAACAAGGAAATCGGCATAGATAACTAACATTTTAAGGTTACATCATAGTACAAATCTGATTTAATAAAAAAAATCCTGAACCAGAAGAGTATTTTACCCCGTTCACCGTAAATAATCATAATGAAAATAATAAAACAAATAAAACATTTGTGCCATGTACTAAACGTAAGTTTATTGAAATAAATTCTATATTATTCATAGTTTCTATAAATCTTTAAAATGGAAAATATTTTTTAGGCAAGACAGATATTACAGCTGCTCAAAGAATGAGATTATATCGCGAACGAAAAAGTAAAAAAAATACAAGCAGTCAATAAATTATTATATAAATGTGTATAATGGTTAACACTGATAAAAGTGTGCATCACGAGTGTTACCATATTACTAATAAAAAACATTATTCAAAATTGTTATATGATGTATTTATTTATAATTTAAATGCCATTCTATATGACAACAAAAAAGTTTTACTTCAATCGCGTGTAAACCTCGCACGCGCTCTCTTTTTTTTATCCGTCTTTTGTCATTGTATACTTTGTAGAACTATGGTTAAGTAACAAATAGTCTTTGAAGTTTTTCAAAATTTCCATAACAAAAGTACCATCACCATTCATTCTTGTCCACATGTACACCTTGGAGGTGTGCAGATACTGTTCTAGGGTCAATAGTTGTGGAATAGTGATCCTTAATAAAAAAAAAGATGTGGACTGGACATCATTAGGCGGGATATGTAAGATTAAACCTTACAAAATTTACCTACTTTACTTTATTAAACTATTCACTTACATTATTTTTTTATTATTATTTTAACCATGTATACAGGTAACATGTATTTTTACTTCAAATATTTAAAAATAAACTTTAGTACAGTTATCAAAAAAATGATATCGGGTAAATAGGGGATCCGTGGTAAAGCCAAAGGGGTCATTAAACATTTTAAGTGGATAAAGAATCTATCACACCCAGCCTTGGTTTTGAATTCCCATTAGAATTTGGATCCGTTTGAACAAATTATGCGATAATTTCAATGACAGTAGTAAAAAATCTATTTGCAAACATTGTTGAAAGTTCTTTTTACTGTGCTTCGAATTCACTACTATCAATATTTTTGTTTTCTTCTTGCTCAGATGATAATTAGAAAGACTAGATGCTTTTTCTTGAACTATTTCTACAACATCTTTCACTTTTACCACTTCTAAACCGGTCTTCGCAAATTCCACTAATTTTTCTAAAATTTCCTAATTTTGGGCGCTAAACCGAAACAGCGCAAAACAAATAAGCGTTAAACGGGGTATTACTGCATATGTACTAAATAAATTCCATACTTTTATATCACATAAGTTCCCTGAAATGCATGCAAATTTTATATGATTAATATTTACCTCACACATAACACATAGTCCCCATGTATGGTTGCACTGTCTCTAACTAAAAACACTCCACCTTGATTTTCACTCATTAATAAATCAGTGGCATCCTGTCTAGACATTGATCCAAAGTACCAGCTGGATGTTGGAGACACAAAAACATTAATATTTCACCACAATATTTTGCAAATGTAATGCATTTGCAAAATCCATGCAATTATGTCAGCTATATTGAAGTTACCTGGAGCGATCATTCTGATCGAAAGTTAAGGCCATTATTGGATTCTATTTGAATTTCGATATAAATAAATAGTCACATTACGCCAACACAAGTATCCCTTCACCATTAAAACAATATTTAATAAAACTACTAAACAGCTAGGAGCGACTCATAATTAAAACTTAAGTTTATTATATACTATTTGAACATCGATTCAATAAAAAATGCATAGTGCAGAGGAAAATTCATCATAAAATTGTTTAATTAACGCATAAAATTAAATAATTTCACATGAAAATTGTTGAGAAAAGTCACAAAACCATCAGCCTAGAATAAGCTCTGCCTAATTAAAACAATATTCTGCAAGAGTGGAAACTTTGAAACAAACATCATGCAGGTGAATGTGACGCCATCTCTAACTAACAATAACAAATAACAATAAGCAAATATGGCGCTCGATTTATGACGACATTATTTTTAGAACACAAAATGATAATAGAAACAGAAAGAGAATGTTTATAAATTAGTAAAAGATTCTTTGTAAAATAGCGATGAAGTTATAAATACGTATCAAAATGTTATTGTCAATTGTTTGTTCTAGTTTACATAGTAAGAACTTCAAGCACTTAAATCAGCGGCTTCCAACCTGTGGGGAGCGTCCAATTGTTTTCAGAATATCATTTTCGAAAATAACCCAAAAATTTTGAAATGATATTCAAAAATGAACAAAAAATTTTTTTTAAATTTTTTTATGCATATTTTTACATAATATTGCATATTAATTTGTATTTGTGATCTGATAATAATATCAGTTAAGTATTTATGAAATTAAACTGTTGAAAAAATTAAGTGGGGCCCAACACATTTTTTTATTAGAGCAGGGAGGGCGTGGTGCCAAAAAGGTTGGAAACCACTGACTTAAGTAATTGTTTGACGCATGGATTTAAATATGTTTATAATAAATTATATTTTTGTATAATATATTAAAAACTAAGTTAGCGTTTTTGGCACTTTTTTCCCCGTATCTTCTGAACGGCTAGACTTGCCTCTGCCAAAAACTAGTCAGCACGTCTCCTTATCAATACGAATCGAATGTTTTTTGAATTATTCAAATCGGTTGATCGGTGTTCCCGAAATCATCGACGAAAATTTGTATCTGCACGCACACACACCAAAATGCCAAAATGTTCGGAAAACTTTGAAACGTAAAGATATATAAAAATTTTTCCCTAGGGAAAGTTAAAAGTGTAATTATCCACTTTATTATTAAAAAAAATGGTTTAGAATATACCGAACATTTCAAATAATTAATGGACATTCACTGCAAAGTGAAAATATATTTATTTTAAGTTATTTGATTTATCAAATTATTACTAAATGATTATCTACTCGGAATATGTTGATTAAACCAATCTCTATTATTGTTTAGTATTATTTTAATCAGTCATATATAAATATTTACGAAAACTGAAATGCAATAATAATATTAACACGTTAATCGCCACGATATCAGAAAAAAATTTCATATTGGCCATGGTAACTTTTAGTTAAAAAATGTATCAAAGAAAAAATATTTTTCGTTCTCTCAAAAACTGAATTGCCATTTTTTGCACATTTAGCCCCGTATCTTCGAAACGGCTGGACCTGCCTTCAACAAAAATTAATCACCACTTCTCCCCATCATTACAAAATGAATGTTTTTCGGATCATTCAATTCGGATGCTCCGTTCTCTCAAAAACTGAATTGCCATTTTTTGCACTTTTAGTCGTATCTCCGAAACGGCTGCACCTGCCTTTGCCAAAAACTAATCAGCACGTCTCTCCATTAATAGGAATCGAATGTTTTTGATACATTCATTTCGGTTGATCCGTGCTCTCGAAATCGTCGACGAAATCTGTATCAGCACATACATCCATTTACTATATGCCAAAATGTTCAGAGTATAAAACATAAAACGTGAAAATAAAAAAAAAAAATAATTTTCGATTTTACTTTTGTTATTGCATTTAAAAACGATTACATATTAGAATCTATTTTTCCGCGCCAATAAAGAGCTTTTATTGTATACAAAACACATTTATATCTACCACACAAATATTTTTAGAAACACACACCAGATCATGAATTCCAGTCAGTAAAAAGCTACAATGTTTATATTGTTTGGAACTATTTTTAGAACATGCTAAACATTTAAAAACACTTATCATAAACAAAGTTTGCAAAATTGATATTCATGAGACGAAAATTTTCACGCACACACACACAAACATATTGATTTTGATTAATTTCTTTTCAATATTTAGATTTTTGTTAATTTTTATTATTTTTTAAATTTATTTTATTTTTAAATATTTTTTCCCATCCTTGTTTAATCTTTTTTCCAACCGACTAGCATTTCCCAAAATTCGATCCTGGATCTAGATATGTAAACCCCATGCGTGATTTTGCATTTACAATTCGTTTATCATGTGGCTTACTATATAATTCTCTTATTTAACTTTTAGTTTATTATTTTATTTTATTGGTTCGTTTTTTATTTTGACTATTTGGCTGCAAATGAACATTTCAAGATTATGGTTCAACGTAGCACAATTTTAGTTCATATATACTTATGTAATTATAAATGTGTAAACAAAATTGGTCATAAAAACATTAATAATTAAATGGAATGGACGGATTTTATTTCATAAAATTTACATATTCTTAAACGTAACTTAATATATATTAAAGTGCTCAAATTTACAATTTATTCTTAAAAATAACTTATAATACATTAAAGTGCTGAATGTGGCTTTAAAAAATAGTATTATTTAAATTATAACTATCTTTGCAATATTTGAGATAGTGTAAATATTTTTTTAAGGCACTTTAAAATTCAATGAACACATTACTATTCTGGTTATAGTTAAAATATTTTGTCATATATTAAATTCCATTATTATTTAACAAGGAAGTCTTAGATAAGGGCTAGAGTATTTATATTAATTCAAGATCTATATAACCAAAATGGACGGATAAATAGTGAGATTGCTGTGGCCTTTTTATATTTAGCCTTAGGGTAAAGATCACAATTTCAAAATAAAATAATGATTACTATTAATATACCCTTTTCAAATACTTTTGAGTATTATTTGTTACTTTCATTTTCCTAACTATACTCATTAATTAATACTCAATATTTGCACATTATCTATCAAACATTGTAATGTCAAATAATTTTTTATAGTTTGCACAATGTTAGAAAGATTGCTTCACATTTCAAAAAGAGGGCAAACTCAAATCGAATCCAATCTCCAGTTAGAATTAAGTCTAGACAAAAAGACCTGATTTATTTCCAGCAAAACAAGATGTAGATTGTGAACTAAAAAATCAACCACTGTTGAAAATGTAGAATCTATTAAATAATTTAATAATAATATTGAAGAAATTACTACAAAAAGCTATTTTAAAAATGTTAAACGGAAATAGACAAGACTAGAACTTTAAGATACAATAGACAATATTTACAGAGTGATGCATGAACAATAAATAGAGCTCATAATCCACTAAAAAAGAGCAACAGTGGTCAACAATAAAAATCAAAATGATATATCTGATAGTATCCACCCATAATGTTTTCATATTCAGAAAGTGAATAAAACAATGAGACAAGTCTCAATAACAAGAAAAAGATTTGAATTACGAACAAACTGTTTTGATCAAATGGATATTTGCAAAATATTATCATGTTCCTCTGAGATGGTTTCAGAAATTGACTTTGCTATCTTTGAAAATGTTGAAGCTGATCAAATTGATATTATCGCCACATAATTCAAAACTATTAGAAATTGTAAAAACCTAATAACATGAGTTAGTTAATATAACAAAAAATTATGACCTGCTGAAATATAATCTGCTGACTGAAATAAGAATTGCACTAAACAGAATGATTATGTTTGAGTACTCAAAACCATTGGCTGAACTTCTAAATGCTGCAGCATCACCTAAATGGTTATTGAGAAGAGTTAAAACAACAATGTATGAAGTGATAAAATTCAATTATTTAGTAAATCGAAATTATATTTACCCATTTGAAAATTCAAAGTAGGGCTGGACATTCTGCCATCACCACCATTACTGAAAGCTAAGACTCTCATTTTATAAGCCTTGCCCGGAGTTAATCCTTAAATTCAAAATAAAATATGTTGTTTAATTAAACACACATTAAATACATTAAAAAAAAAACTTATTTTTTTACCTTCCACATATGATTCCAGTTTATCACCGATATAAATAACAGTATCATTTGCTGTGGACATATCTTGATCAGTTTCCCATACTCGAATCTACAATAGTACAAATAATATAACAGTTGTAAAATGTTTACCCTTAATATAAAAATTTACCTTATATCCAATAAGAGGCTCTTCCTCCTGACTGGGAGCAACATAACGCCAAACAACCCGAACTGTTGATGGATTGACTCCATAAACATGCACACTTGAAGGTGGATTCTGAGGAGCTTTTCTGAATGTGCGTTCTAAAAATTTGATTTATGTAAATTATAACATTTCATGTTCAATAGCATAATGTGATATTAAAAATTACCCAAATATCTTTCACTCTCAGGACCTTCCCCGGCAGAATTATAGGCTATCACCTTCACAAAATAATATGTATCTGGAGATAGACCAACGATTAAAGCATGATTTAGTGTAGATCTGCTCAAATAATAAACACTGTCTTCTTCTCTGTTGTCTTTTTTCCAATATTTGAGCTGTAAAAATAAAATATAATAATTTTGAGTTATAATGTTATAAAATTTACCTTTCTTAGAGATACTTACACGATGGCCAATCAATTTGCCTCTTATTGTCTCTCTGGACAAATTAATAGGATTCCAGGTAACATTCAAAGCAGTGGAATTGTAACTTCTGGCAACAACCAGTTGAGGAGCGACTTGAGGCATATCTTCTGCAGAATATATTGTATGAACGTCACTCTCAGGCCCAAATCCAATGTTGTTGATTGCCTGAACTTTGACATCATATTTTGTATAATAATACATAGATGGAACATTAACTACCGCTGAATTAATATTGCCAGCCTTTTTCAGTACTTCTGTTTGAAATTCTGATTCACCTTCATGTCTTTTCCAAAATACTTTATAATGAATACCTTTACCATTTTGCTCTTGAGGTTTCAAAGCCTGGGGAAAAATTATTGAATAATAAAAAAAATCGTTTTTACATAATATTTAATACATACATCCCACGTGATAGTTAAATCTCCAATTTTTCCACCGCCTCCACCAATATTTCTTGGTGCAATATAAGGTTTGTCACTGTCTGTGCTATACAAAGGACTAGGTTTACTGTCAGTTCCTGGACCAAGACTATTGATGGCAACCACTTTAAACTCGTACACAGACCAAGGTGTCAAGCCATTTACTGATGCTTCTTTCCTACCATTATACCGACCAATCTCATTTCCTTTGATATCTAATTATAAGTAACATAAAAAATGATTAAAAACATGCCACTAAATGCAATGAAAATGTTTAAAAATTGATGCTCTCACATTCAGCTATCAATTGCCATGTTTCATTCCAATTAGTTCTTCCATACACATTGTAATACTGAATTGGGGGACCATTACTGTTTCCTTCTGTCCACTGAAGTAAAGCAGATGACTTTAATATATTCACTACTTTAATTCCACCAGGAGGTCCTGGAGGGCCATCAATATATAGCACAGTTTTAGATGATATTTGCCCAACTGCAGATTTGGCTATGCATTCATATTGTCCACTATCAGGAAGTGTTAAATTGATCAGAGTCAAATTGCCACCATCAATGATCTGATATTAATAAAAGTAATATTATTATTACAGAATTTTAAAAGTCAGTTGAATTTAATTTCAAATATATTTACTATGCGTTCGTTGTACATAAAATCTTGCATTGGTATTCCGTTGTGTGTCCAAATAAAAGCAATGTCGAGCAAATCATCATAGTAAACTTCACACAATAAACTTATGTTCATGTTTACTTGAGTTCTCAACTGTTGAGGCAATCTCAGAGTAAATTGAGGTTCACCTAAAATTAAAACAAAGCATATATATACATAGATATTACATATATATACATAAAAAAATTAACAGAAGTACTTACGCAATACAATGAGTCTTCCTCTGCTTTCAGCAGAACCATAAGGATTTTGTGCTACACAAGTGTATAATCCTTCATCATCCCTATGGGTCGGACTAATTACTAAGTTTCCATTAGGCAATATTACTCTTCTATTACCACTACCTATAAATAAATACAATAAAAATCTAACATTTTTTGTCAAAACTTCTATAATTACCTATTACGATGTTATCTTTCTTCCAGATAATCTTAGGTCTGGGTGCTGCTTCAGGATTGCATTTTATAGTAGTATTTCCATTCTCTGTGGCATAAGTTTCACTTTCCATTGGATGTTTCTTAAACGTAGGCTTAAGAGCTGCAAAGATTTGTGTTTAATTAACATTAAACTAAATTTAAAACAAATATGCCTTCTTACTTATAACTTTAAGTTGTGCACTGGAATATACTGCTTTTAACTGATTTGTTGCTTTGCACTGATACATTCCATTATCTCTTGTTGGATCCAAGTATTTTATATTCAATATGTTATCCTGAATATGATATCTGTCCCTGTCCAATTCATGTAGAGTATCCATATCTGAAAATAGATTTGTCAATAAACCTGTATTAAGTACAATAATATATAGAATTATACCTAGTAGTTGTCCATTTTTATACCAAGTATAGTTGGCATTTGGGTAAGCAATTACTTCACATAACCAATTCAATTCACTCTTAATATCCATGATCATGTTTTCCAACGGTATGTTGAATACAGGGTAACTCTGCACCACCAGATCTAACTTTTTAGACAGTTTTGCTCTATCATTTTTAACTGTACATTCATATGTACCTTTGTCTTGTATTGTGATGTTAGGAATTATCAACACTCTGTTATAACTTTGGAAATAAGCATTTTTAGGTAAATCACCATTTAGTCTTGTCCAGTTATAAGTCGGAACCGGGCTGAAAAATAATATTATACTGGAGCACAAAATATGGGCAAATTTGATATATATCACAGAACAAACATTGGATTTAATTTTTCAAATGTTGTTTACACAATAGGGGTAATATATTTACCATTATTATATTTGTTATAATTCTACATATACTTACTATCCATAAGCCATGCATTCTAATCTAACTTGCTGTCCAGCAATAGGAGCTTCAGGAAACGACTTAGGGAACGTATTTGGAAATAGCAGTATTTGATAATTAGCTAAAACAATCATAACACAAATATTTCTCAATCAAAAATAAAACATATTTTGCTACAATTTTGGTACTTACAATGAGGGAGAACTTGGAGATCAAAAAATGGTCCATTCCTTCCTGTATCTGAAACTTTACTTTGAACTGTACAACTATATTTTCCTCTATCAATTGTTTCAAGAGCTGAAAAATATAATGCTCCATCATCGCTTACAAATACACGACGATCTTCTTCTACAAAATTTGGGAAATAATCTCTTGCCCAATAATATTTGACACCTGTAATATAATTACATTATATTATACAAAATTTTCATTTTATAATCAACATGCACATCATAAGTTTATAATTTGTTTAAAATTATTTTTGTAAAATTGAGTAATTTATACTACATTATACCTGGATAATGCTGTGGAGGATCACAATATAATGCTTTGCCAAAATTTGCATCGCCTCGTTCACCTTGTCTTTTCAAATTAAACTCCAAAATATAACTGAAAAACACATATTTTAACTAAACAGGTCAAAAGTATTTGAAGTATGTAAAATTTAAAAATTCTTACCCAAATGATAATTCAACAGTGTTCGATAATATGGACCCAAATTTATTTGAGGCCTTGCAATGATAGTTTCCTCTGTCGGTTAATTTTTTTGGTTCATGTATAATTAAATTCCCACCACTGACTGTGTACTTGTTATTTAAGAGAGGTTCAATTTTATATGATGTTAAATTATCATTAACAAATTCCTGCTTAAACCATTCGTAGGTTGGAGTGGGATAACCAACTGCTAAACAGCTTTATAAAAAATCAATAATTAATATAAATAATAATCAATTAATATAAATAATATTAAGTTATATACCTCAAAGTTACACCACCCGATATATTTTTTTTAGTTATATCAAATATAGTATCTTCGGGTTGTCTTACAAAAACTGGACCCATAGGAATCATTTTTTTATCAGGAATATCAATTCCAAAGTCTAATTCTCGAGTAGCATATATATAATGCTGCAGTTTACTTGAGTGACCCTCACAGATGAACAAATGAGGTTCATTGTGAGGCGTGGGCTTAAATCCCCATCGATTCTGTACTGGTGAAAAGCTGAAGTATAATAATGCATTAATTCATAGGAAAATATGATTATTAAAAAAAGTACATTATAATTATTGCAGTATACCTGTAAGTCAAATATTCTCCATATGGCTCATTAATATCTTGAGGATATATATTTTCGTTAACTAAATTTGTATTGTCATTATTGATCCATTGATTATTAATAAGTTTTGCACTTATTAAGTACCGATTATCATGATTTTCATCTTTTATAAGATGCTTGATTATGAATGCATGCTTCTTGACTGTATCAATATTTGCTAAATCAACATTGTACGTCTGTAACAAAATAAGATATGATTCAAATTGTAATATAAATTAACTTGCATTTTCAAGATTCCCATTAGTGATTATTATTACTATATTTGTTATTACCTGGCATACTTTGAATGCTTCATTTCTAGTTTTAAGACTAATAAAAAATCTGAAACATATATCATTATAGCTTCCACCTCTATTGAAATCCGAATTGGAGTCTGGGTTGTATGAAATCCAAAACTTGGGGCAGTTACCATTGGAATTTTGATCATTATCAGATTTTTCAATGTAATCATCAATGTTCAAGGTTCCAGGACCTCGATAATCAATATTGAATTGATTAAATTGGTCTGAATTCTGATTATATCGGTAATCGTTGCCATAATCATTTAAATTGTAATTGCTATTTATATTTGAATTTCGAAAGTTTGTATACTTATCACCACCTAAGAAGTTATTTTGGTCATATGGATTGTCTTGCGGTTTATAATTTTGGTCATATAATTTATTGTCAAGTTGACATAAAACTTGTGCAATTAGACCAAATATAATTGAGAATAACCATCTATGAATCATCTTATTCATATTAGAATTTTTGAGGCGTGGCACCAAAGTTATACCGATTATAACTATTGAATGGTATTTATTTTATAAACTTTTATTTATAATGCGATTCATAATCATATAGCACTGCTGTAGCTCACATAACAATTTTACTTTCGAAAGTTAATTATTTTAAACAAAAAAGATATGAAATTAACCTACAGAGAGTAAGACATTATTGAGTTTAGTAAACACAAACATAAACAAACACAAGAGTCATGAATAGATAGGAAACTGTAGAAAGGAAAAACTTAACCTGGTGACAGCATTTGGAAGCAACTTCAATGCGGTAAAATTTAAAAAATATAATGGAAAATGGTCTAAGATATTTTGAATTATTATAATTAATTTTCTTGCTTTCATTGTTTATTTAAATTTTATATTCAATAAGGATAAAAGAAAAAATTAATGAAAACTAAAACAACTTTGTGGTTTTGAAGGTACAAAATGTAATGGCCGCAACGTGGACCTAATTCTCTTTCTAACTTGCGAATTAATATAATGCATTATTATATTTATATTTTTAAGAATATTTAGTTAGTATTAAGTTGAATTAATAGTTTATCAATAAAACTTTGCCTTTTATTTTATTCGATTTTCCTACCAGGGGGTTTGTTTGTAACCCATTTTCACAACCAATGCCTGCTATTGATTTCTGTTATCTGCGATGTGTAACTTCCGACTTGTCACATTCTCTTGTTACGATATTCGAATTAAAACAAAAAAATGTTTTTTGATATAGCAATTATTGTTCAATAGTTTCACACCACAAGTGATTAAAAATTTTATTTATATGAATGATACGAATATTCGTTTTATTTTGCGTTGTGTATGATATAATATAGTTTAAAAGCTGTTTTCAATATGTTTTTATATTTCTTTACTTTAGATCATATTTCAAACTGATAATTTTAATAGAATTTTATTTATATGAAAATCTGTAATTATGGCTGAATCAACAACGTTGCTGGTTGATGACAACGTTAATTATGAGAAAGAAATCAGTTCGTTTCAAGATAAGAACACATGCAATAGGTATATACTTTTATATACATAACATATTTTGAATTCTTATAAAACCTTTATTTTAGTTTGAGTCAGGAAGCACTTAGGTTAAAAGTATTAGAAGAGGAACAAGAACTTCTAACATCGTCTTTATTTTCATTAACAACACATTTTGCACAGGTAAACATTGACACCACAATTCATTTCAGAAACGACCTTATTTTTATACAATATATTTCCATTAGGTGCAGTTTCGATTACATCAAATAGTTGAGGCACCACCATCTGAACGAGAAGTTTTATTAAAATCACTAGAAGAATTTGCTTTTCGAGGCGTTAAAAAAGTAGAATTCAGTTCTAGTGATAATGAAGTCAACGAAGATAGTTCTCAGATGTCATCAGCTGAAAATAAACTATTGCGAGAGCAAGAATTAATTAATTTATTGAAAAGTGAACTCCAAGAGGTTGAAAATTATGCATATTCTACTGGTAGTGCAGGAATTCCTCAATCAGTTCTTATTGAACGTCAAAAAATCATTATTGGTATGATTTATATATTTAATTTTTAGTTAATTCTTTAGAATCATCTTTGAGTTTGTTTTTGCTAATGTTAAAATCGAGAGTTTCTCAATGTTTTGTATATCAGACTATAAGTATATCTTTTTAATTGCAGATGAATTAAGAAATAAATAAATTTAAATTGGATGAGCTTGACCAAAGTACTTTGTCTCCTGAAGAACTACGTCAGCAAGTGGATTGTGCAATAGGTCAGCTTGTGGGGCCTTTAAAGATGAAAGATGCTCTAGTCAATCAACTGAAAACACAAATTCAAGATCTCGAAAGGTTTATAAAATTTTTACAAGAGGGTCCATATGCCAAATGGGACGATGCTAAATTCAAAAACTCAAAAAGATTGCAAACTGTAAACACGGACCAGAAAGCTGTAGCGCTTTTGAATAGGTAGCAATAAAATTAACATATTTTTGTATACATTTTAAAATAAATTTGAAATTTTTTAGTCGTAATGATCAGCATAATAATCGTGGTAATGAAGGTAAAATCCAGTCTTCTACAAGCGGTATTATGAAGAAGGCTGCAGAATTCATCCAGATATTTACTTCTAACCAATTTGCTTGTGATACTTATCAGTTCTCAGATAATAAATTAAAGAAAAACAAACATAATCATTGGGGGTTCGAGAATGCTATTTAAATTTATGACTATTTTATATTCTTCTACAATCTAACCATTTTCTGCATTTATAGTGATCATCGCGCTCAGTTAGAAGTTGCTGTAGAGAAAATCATTTTATTATTAAACCAAAATCGGGCTGACGATAATCATGCAGGTAACAAGGACATTCTTAAGGCCGATGAAGGAATGGATAAATTTGATATTCGAGTAACTACAGTTGTACGAAAGCAACTTGCTATTTGCCTAAGAAACCTTATGCAGCACGGTTTAATGCCTGTAATTTTAATTAAGTGTATTAAATTTCATAACTTGTTGACAAGCACTCAAAGCTCATCTTTGTAGGCAGTGCAGCAAACCAGCGTAGTTCCATTCTTTGGGTGCTTTAGTCTTCGAAGTCAAGTTGTACCAAAATTTATGCATGCATGGGAACTTGTATTAAAATATTATCATCTCAAAAATGGTGATCTTTATAATGCTACACCGGCAAGATGCTTGTCGCAGAGTTTTAATTTAAGCATAGTTGTTGGTAATACGAAGTCCAGCAAATTGGTAATGTTCTCTTTTGTATCATGAATGTTATTTTTCTATTTGTTGAAAGCCTGTTTTATACATTATTACGCCTTGGTGTACTTATCTTATCAATTTTGTTTCAGGGTTTGCTTGGTGCAGTATCAGGAATTATAGCTGATCATAGTCCTTATAAAAGTAGTTATGATTCTCAATTTAAGGCCTTTGTTTGTGCAGCTTTAAAGTAAGTTTAGCATAAAAAAATAATCTAATACTGCCTAATTTTGCCCACATTCACCAAAAATTAATATTTTCAGTGCTAATAAGTTAGTGCCCTGGTTAAAATTGATTTTACAATGCAAACAACTAATTAATATGCACTATGCACCTTGGAGTTATGTGGTAAAAACTGGTATGTAAACATTATGCTATTCACTATATTGAAACTTATTTTTATTTTTTAAATAATGAGTACATTAGTAATACATTTGTTACAGGTTTTGTAGATAGCTTGCAATGCTTAGACAAGTTAACAAATCATTCATTTGAC